CTTCCCGTTGTAGCCCAGTCGCCCCGCCCCCAGCGTGCCCGGCGTGGTCGCGTCACTTCCAGGTGATGTGCACGTCGGGGTGGGGTTCCCCACGGGGCCCGGGGAACGGGCCACTGGGGCGGGGATTTCCCCGCCCCCCCCCGGGGGGGACTTGGCAAGCCTACCCCTACCAGTTGCTACGACAGCTCCAGTATGAATTTACCTCTACTGCTGCTGCTATTTCTCAAGGGGGAATAAAACACACACTTACATTCATGGATCTTATGGTGTTGAGTTAAATACTTAAGCCTTGTTCATGTGCACTGGAGAATGAGGTAGTAGAATAGAGTATACCACTTAAGATCACATTTTGGAATCTTCACCTGCATTAAAAGCAGTAGTAACACAACAAACCTCCCTGCAAATAGAAACCAAGTGACAGAGAGAAGGGGGAGAGGCCCTTTCTCACTGTTGCACTAGTTTTCTATTTTCAGGGATTTAAAATAAAAATAAAGGAACAGTCAAAGCTGGAACCCCTTTTCTGGAGTCTAAAGTGGTACTGTCCTCTTACATTCCACCACCCCACTGCTACTTCCTGAACCCAATATTGGGCCATGGAAGGTTCTTCTGTGGGACAGAAGTTCTGTTCCCTCCATCAAATAGAGCAGGTCTTGGAAAAAACTACAACTTTCCCATTCACAGCAGATCTCCAACAGACCAATGATACAGCAAAAGACAGCTGCGCTTGGCCAAGTAAAGCACTTTGTGTTTTGCAGAGTGCTTCGTTCCCTCCATCAAATAGAGCAGGTCTTGAAAAAAAACTACAGCTTTGCCATTCACAGCAGATCTCCAAACAGACCAATGATATAGCAAAAGACAGCGGCGCTTGGCCAAGTAAAGCACTTTGTGTTCTGCAGAGTGCTCCTCCAAAGGGCCTTGTAAGGTGGCGATGTGTAAAAGCCGACCGATCTTCCTTAACCTCTGAAGTGCTATTAAGCCACACACACAAAAATCCCATTGTATTTATAAGGTGCACCGAATAAGGAACTAGGGCAGCTACATCCCCGGTGGTGGTAGAAACTGCCATCAAGTCATAGCTGACTTACGGCGACCCGGTACAGTTTTCAAGGCAGGAGACATTCAGAGGTGGTTTGCCATTGCCTGCCTCTGTGTCACAATCCTGGTATTCCTTGGAGGGCGCCCGTCCATATACGAGTTGTGGCTGACCCTGCTTAGCTTTCGAGATCTGGTGAGATCAGGCTATCCTCGGCTATCCGGGTCATGGCTGCTGCCTCCCTACTTCATGCCAACATAAAGCTTTCGGTCACTCCCAAGTCATACATCCCCAGACTCTTATGGGGTACAACAACCCATAGTTATTGCTTCATTTTGTCCTGGGGGGCACACTGTTTTGGAGACATTAGGGCTAAAACAAAGCTCTGAGCAGGGGAGTGTTCTATATCTGGGGGATATAGCCTGGGGGAGGAGTTGGTTGGTTAAGTGTGGCTCAGAGATTATTTTTTTTGGGGGGGTACAGCCCCATGACGGAGTGAGCTCCCATCTCTAGTTCCAGCTCCTGCCAACCTAGCAGTTCGAAAGCAAGAAATTGCAAGTAGGGAAATAGGTACCACTTCGGTGGGAAGGTAACAGCGTTCCGTGGGCCTTGGTGTTTAGTCATGCCAGCCACATGACCACGGAGACGTCTTCGGACAGCGCTGGCTCTTCAGCTTGGAAACAGAGATGAGCACCGCAACCCTAGAGTCGGACTCGACTGGCTTTCGAGCAAGGGAACCTTTACCTTTACCTTTTTACAGCTGCCCCCAGTTTCTTAACTTTCACTTTGTCCTTGGGGGCTCCCCATTTTGGAGCGGTTAATGCTAAACATGGTTTTGGAACTGGGCGAAATACACGTTCCCTCCAGGGCAGAGCTGTCTGAGTGGGGATTCGGGTTGCCAACTGGGTTGGGAAATTCCTGGAGGTTTGGGGGTGGAGCCCGGGGAGAGCAGGGTCTGGGACGGACCCAGGCGGGGTATAATGGCGTAGAGTCCACCTTCCAAAGGCGCTGTTTGCTGGGGGAACTGATCTCGCTCTGGGCCCTGCCTGGAGGTTTATTTATTTAATTTGTCTATTTAAAATGTGTTAACTGCCTTTCTACATTATGGAACTCGAGGCAGCTTACAATGTAGCAAAAGCATAAAAATGTATAAAAGGCCATGAATTAAAACCATAATTTAAAACTGTTGATAGGTGGTGGTGGTGGTGGGGAAACTAATCAAATGCCAACCTGAATAAAAGCATCTTCAGCTGCCTCCTGGAGACCGAGAGTGGGGCATAGATGGCCTCCCCTACTGGGGATGTATGATTTCGGGTAGTGCAGAGCAATGCTCCCTCTAAGCTGTGGAGTCTTGTGAGCAAAAGTTCTACCTTGTGAGCTACAGGCATTAAAGTTCTGAGCGAGCGATTTGGCTGCTGCATCAATTAGTTTGCTCTGGAGCCCTCCTTCCTGAGCTACGACAAAAACGTGTGAGCCAGAGGCTTAGAAACTGTGAGCTGGCTCGCACTAACTCAGCTTAGAGGGAACACTGGTGCCGAGCTGATTTCAGGGGGGTGAGGCTTTTAAAGTATCATCAAGAGTTGTGGTGAGATTTGCAAAGAAGGAGCTAGGCACGACGGGTAGGGAGCTGGGAACCAACTTCAGCCTCGTTGGAGATGGTCGGGATTGAACCTGGGACTTCTCTCATGCGACGGAGGTGCTCTGCCACTTGGGCTCTCTGGAAAAATCCCCCCATGGTGCCCCCACAGCCAGGGATCCTCAGCAATCACACACAAAGCTGTCTTTTGCTGGATCTGACTGTCTCTGAGACCTTTCCCAACTCTGAGGTCCC